ACTCAAATTGGAGGGGAGAAAAATGAAGTTTTGACATATGTTACAACACAGTTGAACCAGGAAGAACATCCTGTGTGAAAAATACCAGAAGTACCTACAGCTCTCAGATTCAAATACACAGAGGGTGTAATTCCGGTTAGCTGTCAGGGCTGAGGAGGGGAGGATAAGATATGTCTATGTTTTAAAGGTGCAGTTTCACTTTCTGATGGTGAAACGGTCCTGGAGAGGCAGAGATGATGTCATGTGCCAGTGTGAACAGTCTTTAACATGCTGAACTTCACACTGAAATCCAAAAGGCTGGAGAGAGCTTGCTGGTTAAGAGCGCATGCTTCTCTGCAAGAGGACGTGAGTTCGATTCCCAGCATCCATGTGAGAGCTCAGTCATTGGAAACTCCAGTTCCATGGGTCTGACACCTCCTTCTAGCTCCAAGGACACTGCACACATTTATTGTACACAAGTGGGCAGACACTCATACATATGAAATAAAAATGAATAAATCTGTCTTTTTCAAGAAGGCTAAAGTGGTAAGTTTTAGATTATATAAATTTTACTACAAGAAAAATAAATTAAAAAGCTTTACAAAGAATTCTACACTGTTGGAAAAAATCAATCTCATTACATAAAAAGATCTTCAAAACAGTAAAAATGCAGTAAAAAAAATTGAAGACTTTAAATTGGTCATTTTTGTTTTTTCTGTTTTTCAAGACATGGTTTCTCTGTGTAGCTCTGGATGTCCTGGAACTTGTTCTGTAGACCAGGCTGACCTCAAACTTGGAGATCTGCCTGCCTCTGCATCCAAAGGCATGCTAGGGTTAAATGTGTGTGCCATCATGTCTGGCTAAATTGGTCTATTCTTTAACAACAACAACAACAAAAACCCCTCAAACTATATATATGTATTCCTGAACAAAATACAGAAGATAAATATTTCTGAACAAAAACCTGAAGTCAAATGTTTATAAGAAATCTAAATAAACATTGTAATACATGTCTCTTTAAGTATTCTAAGTTCTAAACTTATTCATTTTTAATTATTTAACTTTAACTTATTTTTAATTACTTACATTGGTGGGGACATTTCTGGGTATTAACAGGGCACTGAGCTACATTTCAGCCCTTTATTTTACTTACCTTCATAAAAATTATAGTAATTAATAAAATAGTATGAAACTTCAAATGCATGCAGAAAATATGAGTTTACTTCTTTTAAGTTTTAAATTATTTCAAACATGAGCCTTATAAAATTAATACGTTTTTATTTATTTATTGTGTGTGGTGGTGGGGTGCATGTGTCACAGTATGCCTGTGATTGTCAGAGAACAAGTGGTAAGAGTCAGTTCTCTCTACTGTGAGGGTCCTGGCATTAAACTTAGGGCAGTAGAAACCTTAAACTACTGAACCAACTGACCAACCTCCAAAATAAACTTTGAAGAGGAACAAAACACTATGCTTTAGTGGTTCTAATTTTAAGACATTAAATTTAACTGCATGAAGCTCTTGATGTATCAATAAAGGAAAAAGAATGAGAGATCTGTATCTGTGTTTATGTACCTAACACATACTTAGGCCGGGCATTGTCTTTAACAGTGTTTTAAATTAATCTGTTCCCCAAGACAATATGTAAGCTTAATAATAAAACTTTTTATAATGTATGGGTATAGATTACTAATCTCAATGGTGAACTAAGAATGAAAAGTCGTAAATTTTCTTTAAAAAGTAGAATTCTGCTATTCAGTATAAAAATGGGAAGTATTAATTAGCCTGAGTACAACTCCAGGTATTGGTTCATATCACTAAATAATCAGACATCCAAAAACTGGATTTGAATCTGATCCTTCTAAAATTAAGGCAGATGGATTATAAAATGCTTTTAGCTTTAAGAACATAGAAAAAAGTAAATCTGGAAACAAAAGGAATCTTATAAATGATTTTAATGTTTATTTTTTTATAGAAAATTTTGTGTTGTCTCTATCCCTACTGGGATCCTCCCCTGCTCTACAGACTAGATCTGCTTCCAGTACTGGCGGCCCACACACTTCTCTACTGAATTAATATGGGTGTTATAAGTTCCTTGGGGGCACTAATGAGGTGATGCCATGTCACATACAAAAAAATGTACAATTTTAAAATGTTTTTCCTTACTCCTTACAATTCTCTTGGTTATTACCTCAAGCCACACTAGTCAAACCTAGACTTTATACATTTGTGTAATGGTAGCTTAAGTGGGCTGCAGGCAAGAGTAGACCACTGTTCATGCCTTCCTTGTGCCTATGGAAAATGAACTGCAATATTTCTAGAGTATGTCCGTGGAGCTGTTCCATTTGACCAACCATGCCCTGAGTGGTGCCCTGACCACTCCAGTGTAGTTAGAACAAATCCCTCCTCCCCAGTACACACAATAAAGAAGAACTACAGGCAGTCGAGGGCTGGAGAGAGAGGGCTCACTACACTACAAACCCTTCCCCTGCTTCTCTTTCAAGCCAGTGAGTAACAACAGGCAGGCAGAGGTGCTTGCTTTCCACCATGCCCCTCTCCTTAGCAGCACTCATTCTGACTTATTGCTCTAACCTGTTAGTGTTTCCTCTAAAAGTGCAACTTCTGTTAGAAGGGGGTTTGCTTGAATTCTCACCATGCTGAGTGTCCCCCACGCCTTAAAATTCTCTTGCCTTGGATGACGATGTACTTTCTCTGGAGCGTCTTGGTCTCTTCTACTGTCTTTCCTGCCACTTTGTGTGACATCTTCTATTGACACACTCTGTACTCCTTCATCAGTTTAACTCACTTTTGGGATTTCTAAGCATATGTACCCTGGAAGCATCTGATGTAAGTGCTCATCACTGCAAGCTCAACTTCCACATTCAGTGCTCAAACGTCACGTCTTGTCAGAGGTATACACACCAGAAATCACAATTCCTACTCCCTACTTCCAACAAAAAGTAGAGCCCTTCCTGGGTTCCACATTCACAGCAATGACCCCACATTCTCCTTCACACATGATAAAATAACATGGAATTTTCTGGTGCTTTCTTCTCTTTTCCTGATGTTCAAAGTACACTATAGTTCTAAATCCAGAAAAATCCCACTTCTATACTCTGGTCCTCCAAATTCCTATCACTACTATAGTTATTCAGGTTTGCCCATTTTCTGTAGACAGATCTAAAGTCTCTTTTCATTGCTTTTTCCTATAGTCTTCCTGTTATTAACCTTCTACTCATGCCTGATCAAGGCAAAGCCTTCAGTGAGTTCTCTCTGGCTACCAAATTGGGCAGACTCCCTCCCCACTGGTGCCTCTGATTTCCTTACATACTACACATACCTTAGTGTCTGGGACAAAGCCTTCTCTTTGCCCCTGAAATATTTCCTCCATATGTATCTTACATCTTGTGGGTGCATCTGTCCTATCACTGCCTGTCTCCAAACTTACAACAGTTGCTAAGATGAACCCAAGTACAAGGGCCACCAAAGTTACGCCTTGCTCCTCACTAGAAGGAGGCTACTGGACAGTCTGAAACAAAAGGATCACAAAGGGCAATCAAGTATAAGGCAAATAAAGAAAATAAATGAAAAGATTCTAAATTCCATCTGGAGAATAGAAGAATCTCGGGTCACAGACTTGAGCTCAGGCTTGCTTAAGGCTCATGCCATATGCTACCGTCGATATTTTCATTACTTTTCCTCTTTGGCAATGCTGACTGGCCATGTACCTGCCTATCAATTGATAGGCACAACAACTCAACCACGTTAATAATGTCCACGTTTTAGACACAATGAAACATTATACCTCTCAGGTTTTTATGGCCAATAGATGACAAGATATGGCAAGAATGTCAGCCAGGATCAGCTTCACAATCAGTCGTCTGCTACTCTATTGTTAATGTCCCAAAGGTGCATATAAATTACAGCTGGCTTTATTGGTTTACATAATTTAGTTACCTCTGTAGGCATACATAGGGTGTGTACTACTACAAAGACGTTGTTTTAGAGTGGAGTCCATGTCTAATATTTCTTTCATTTCTTCCCTTATATCTCTAATAAATCTTCTATCTGGTAAAAATGCAGTATTTGGTTCCTTCATTGTTACAGCCATACACTAACAAATTAAAAATGGATAGACAGACCTTTAATTAGTATGAAGCCAAACACAAATATAGATCTTTTTTCCTTTGACTTCTTACAAATTGGGACAATACTTCAACAATAGAAGAGGACCTAAGAGACAAATCTCATCAACAAGATCAAAGCTAACTGGGTGTTTATCTGTAATGAAACTGATGCCTCTCAGATTGTCCTCTTCTGGTTATAAAGACAGTATGAAACTATGAGGAGCCATTCTATCAGACAAATAATGTGTTTAAATGTGAAAATAAATAAGCTTTAATTAACGACAAAACCTTTTATCTTTATGTTATGGAAATATATAAACGCGTATGCGTGGACTTGTATCTTCTGCAAAGGATTTTGTTCTGAAGTCCATGTCAACAAGTAAAGTGAAACCACTTAGGAACAAAATACTTGAAGTGACAGAAACCCTTGGAAATCCCTCAAATTGCTTTTAAAACACAGTATAATAGTGCTCCGCCCTCAGGAAGTACAATGCGCAGAAGAGAGCACTATGTTTGTGTACTAAAATCCCTGGCTGACGGTGGAGACCATACTCTGAGTCACACTCAGAGCCTGCTGGCTGCTGTAACAGGTATGTTAGCAACAGCCTGCACCTGAGGAACAGCACATTCACACCCCTCCCTCAGTCAACGGCAGCACTGTACACTGGGAGTGAGAATTCCAGTACCACACTGAGTCCAGCATTTAGTCTTTTCATTTGGGGTGTTTTGGAGCTGATTTTCATCATGAACTCAAAATCTTTATTTGGATTGCACTCAGAACTCTGTGCTATCCCTTTCAGTGTGCAACCATAGATACCTAGAATTTCAAGTAAATCATCTAACATAATAAGTGTTTCATTTAAAAACAAGTCAACATTCTTAATCAGTGCTCTTACCGTCTTCCATGGATGCCTCAGTGCTGTACCCGTCGTACTCTGCAGACAGGGGGCTATACTTCTGCCTTGTTTCCCAGGCATAGCTCTTTTGTCTAGAATCTACCAATGGCCACCTGGAATTGTGTGTTCTGGATAAGGCCTCGTGATATTTACCCAGCGCTTCATCTTCACTTTCGGAGGATGAACCAGGGTCATCTCTGTCCATGTAGGAATTATCTATTTGGGTAACAGTAAGAGGAAATTATAATTTTAATATACTTACATGTGGCAAATTTGTTAAAATGTGTTATTACATATATGCACACATACACACAAACACAAGCACAAATGAAAATGTGTGTGTGCATACATACACACAGGGTGAAACTAATTAGAAACAATCTTTAAAACTGCTGACATTCTTGACTATCCCTTAAACTGAATTTAAAGGATACTGTAACATTAGTGACTATGTATATATGTATATAATATCCCAAAATTTCAGCTTTGGAAAATATATATTTCATGTAAGTAGATCAATCATTATATTTTTATGTGTTAATAGGAAATATCACATTGTATATTCTAATTACATAAATAATCTTAGTCACAGGGGTTTGCAACCTTTTTAGGTACAAATGAAATCATAGTTGCCACACTGTACAAGTTTATAAAATACTTACTATATACAAATAAAATTATAAATGCTGTCATTACTTATGGACTAAAGTAAAACAATTAATGTTATAAGACAAATTTCTGGTTTTCATTTGGCCCATATTTTCAGAACTAGCAATGCTTTGTACTAACAGGGAGACAGAGAAAAGGGAAGACACAGGCACACTGGGATTGTAACTCGTACAAGATTTCTACAGAGCAAACTCAACATCGAAACATCAAAAACAAGTCCAATATCAAACTGTGTGGTCTTTGAAAGTTCCATTTCTAGGAACTTGCCAAGTCCATTTCAAATTAACTGAATATAGATATACATTTTTAATTACATTACTAGCAAAAGAAAACAAGATATATAACCAACATGCCTATCACTGTGCCTTCCTTAGGCAAGTAATGGCACATCCATTCAACATACATACAGGACTGTATGGCCTTTAAGATCAGTGGGTAAGCTTACAATTCACAAGGAAGGAGAAAAGTTGCAAGGATTTTTTATTTGATAGATATTATACATATTTCAACATGCAGTCTATATACATACTGTATATATACACACACACACACACATATATAAATATATAGAAAGAGAGAGAATACACATCAAATTTCTAACACTACCATTGAAAAGTTAAATTACTAGAAAAATTTTTCTTAATTATAATGTAAATTTTAAGCAGTATAAAGTTTATATTCTTTAAGAAGCAGTAGAGCAGTTAAGAGTTCATTACTCTTGTCTGAACACATACCACCCAACCTCTCTAATCTGCCAGCCACACTCACAGTATATACAGCTATATGTAGCTGGTGGGTTATCTAGAGCAATGTAGATATCCCAATTTTACCATCATCAAGAGTCTGACTAGACAATGCTATGATATCCAGACCACACTCTCCTGACACCCAGCTCAGAATGTGAATGTCTTGTGAAGTAGCAGAGTGAGGCCTAAAGGTAGCAGGTGACCTCCCCATGGAGGTCACCCTCTATGCAACCTCTCTGTAGCCAAATTTCCTTTATTCCAGAATGTCTTACACATAAAATCAGAGAAACTCTTCTTTCTTTCTTAATCCTGAATCTCTCATGTGAAAACCTACTACTCTGATACTAGGAATATGACAATACAACTACATGAAATGTTAACCTATGGGCCAAACACTTGCAATTTCTTCATGGGACTAATTAAGGTCAGTATTTGACTCTTCTCTGGAATACTTGAGAGCTTTTGGTTTCTTGAGATACCAGAGTGCTCCTCAATAAAAACCAGGCAAACTAAACAGAAAATCTTTCAGTCCTACTGCAGCTGCATTTATTCCTGGTAGCCATCCTATTGTCATTTTCTAAATAATTTGTTACTTTATTTCTTCATAAGTAATAAGGCTGCCAGAACTAAACAAGGCCACTAAAACCCAATGAATCACAGCTGCTGTGAGCATGGACTCTACAATGAACACAAGTTTACAAACTGACTTTCAATTAGCCCACCAGTCTGAGATCAGCTTCTCCTGTGCCATTAAAAACTCACTGTTCAATACACAGCAGACCTCTCCCTCTTACAGATGAGTCATATAGCAGAACTGAAGTCTTCCATGATTTTCATATCTACTCACATTTTGATATCTTATGAGAATCTATGTTTATATAAAAGCTACAGGTGTATATTTTATAAGCAAAAGCCAGTATTTGGGGGTTTCTGATCAGATCAGCAATAAGGAAGTGAGGAGAAAATTCTGGAAGCAATTATCATCAGTGCACACTGCAATGATGTTTTCAAAACTGTCACAAATATTGTAGCTAAACAGATACTCAGAATCCAAGTCTGTGGAAAGAACTCATAAGTAATAATGTATTACTCGTTTACAGTCATTATGAACTATAGCACTCTCATGAACATTTTAAAGTATAGATAAATGAATAAAGACATAGCCAGAAGCACGTTGTTTAACAATATAGGAGCTATTAGTTTTAAGAAAAACATAATTTTTTACATAGATTCTCACTGGGGCAGATTTGAAGAACAATGTTGTATAACCAACTCAAGTCTTAATCATAAAGGTAAGACAAAACTTGAAATATGTGAGTATCACAGCAAATTCATTCAAATTAAAGTATGCACGGAATTTATGGCATTAAAATAAATTATTATTAAAATTAGGAAAAGAAAGGTATAATCTCAGTAAATGAAGGCTCAAAGCCAGCCTTTGCTTTATAATGAGTTTCAGGCTAACTGGACTGGAACTGCACAGTGCAACTCTACTCACAAGAACACACAAAAAAAGAAAAAGAAACATCAGCTATTGTAGGGACCACAGGCAATACTTGGAGGTAGAAAATAACACAAAGTATCTTAAAATGACTGAAAAAATCTAAATATCTCTAAACATATCTCCTGGTGAGAAGACTCAAGAAAAATTCAAATTAGATATATAGACATGGAAAGAAAAGTTGAGAAATTTAGATGTTTTTCTAGTTTAAAAAAAATCAAGAGAAAATTTAATCACTCAAACCAACATTAGGAGACCTCACCTTTTTCTGGTGATATCTTAGAGTACTTGCCAACTTTACTCTTAGCTGTTCCTCTTTTAGCGGAATTAGCTTCGCTTTCCTTTGCTTTCATGTCTCCTTTCACTTTGTGGTATTTTGTTGGATTTATTTTTTCCTTGATTTTCCTGGGGAACATGTTTTTACAGTTTGTTGAGGGAGCTGAACATGTGTCTTCCTTCACAATGGATTTCTGTGCCCTGTGTCTGTTGTTTGCCGTGGTATCTTCTGGAGAACATTCATTCCCTTTGAATCCATCATATTTATCATGTTTTTTAGCCTTTTCTAAATGATCAGAATGCTGTAAATCATTAAGATGTTTATTTTCAGTGATGTTCCCCAATTTTTCTTGCTTTCTTCCCACAGGTACGTGCTGCAATCTGGTTTTAGAGTTGTCTGTGACCACACACTTCTGCACAGAGGGACTGTTCCAGCCACTGGTGCTCAGACTCCCTTTCACTTCCTGATAACTTACCTTGTTTAAATGATTCTGATCATTCCCAGAGCTTCCTACTCCAGATATTTCACATTTGTCAGTCTGTTCCAATTCGTGGCAAGTGGATGCAGGCCTCCTTTTCTGCTTGGCAGCTGATACCCCATCACTCATGAGGCCTTTCAAAGCAGCAGCACCGGCCTCACCAGTTCCTTGGTATTCTGAGGTGGCCCACTGCCCACCATGAATGTACAGCCCCTGTTCAGATATTTCTTGTTCTTGTTTTTGTGGAGTTGAAGTGTTGCAGCAGGTTATTTGCTTTGCCTTATGATCTAAATCAGACTGTGTTTTCTGATGAGCAGTATTTTTGGAGGTATCCCACAATACTGTGTTTTGGGCTTTAGAAGACTCTGCAGCCTCTTCTGCTGTGCCACTTCCCTCCTCTGGGCAAAAGCCATGCATCATACTTGCTACCTGCCCAGCGACCGAGTCAGATATGGCATAGCTCACTTCCCCAACTGCAGCGCTCCAGTCTTCTACAGCACTACTGATTGTGTCCACCAGGGAGGACACCGAAGGCAGGTTCTGCTGAAAACTTTTGAAAAATGCCATTTTCCAGTTCCTTTTGCCTAAAAGGTGCAATAATGGAATTTCCTCTTCTCAAAATATCAACTACTTTGATATGTGAATTTAATATTTACTTAAATGTTGCTATCATTAGAATGATAGAAGCATTTCACACTGTCTTTTAATCTTTCTGTAAATGCAATATGCACTGGAAGAAATACGTTGAAGTAAAGACTCCTCCGGAAAAATAAAACTCAAATCACTTGGTTTAAGTGCAATGACATCTTTTCCCACTCCATAGCTATCAAAACAGCAGCAAGACATTATTTTTCCCTCAAATACTATTGGGTATTTAGTCTATACCTGAAAGAAGAAGTATAGAAAGGATTTTTATTATGTACTTTAGTTTATTTGCTAAGAGTCAGCATAAGGGAATAAACCTATTAGCGGACTACCAATATTTCAAATTACAAACTATACTTAGAGGAAAATATCTAAACAGTTTTGCAAGGTAGTAAGAACTGGGAGAGAACAGGTAAGCACTGGCTGAATGGCATTTCTGGGACACTGTTATAGACACATTTGACATTATTTGCTGTAGGGTAGCTTTAGATGGAGAATCCCATTTTTACTTTAACAAGTAAGAGGAAAATAGTATGATTCTGAGCTCTAGCGGCCACACTACTAGCACAGTGGTAACAAGGGGTTGTTTAAGGTCCCATTCTCCCTTGCTTACAAGTGCAAACTGAGGTTTCCCACAGGTAAGACCGACCTAACAGGAAAGCAGACACCAGAATCAAGCTGAGTCCTATTGTGCTCGTGCTAATGGACCTATATGAAATGTATGTGCCAATGTTAATCTTCTCTACAAATTTTTCTTTTAGCTGGTAAAGTTAATTTTCTTGATTTACTAGCTAATATGGTAATTATATTATATAATTAGTATGCAATTATTGTATTTTGTTATATAATATACAGCTAACATGTAAGTATATGATTAATATAAAAAGCTTATATATTAACAGATATAACCTACATCAACAAAAGCTCTTTGAAATGTAAAGACATAAAATCTAGGGAAGCTGAACTAGAGAATTACAGAAAACTGATAGGGGACTGGGGGAGGGAGGGAGTGAGGGACGGAGGGAGGGAGAGAGGGAGACAGGGAGGGAGGGAGAGACTTAGAAGGAGGAAGAAATTGAGGGAGGGAGGAATGAAGAGAGAGGAAGAAAGAGAGTGGGAAGGAAGGGAGAGACTGGTTATTAAGCAGCTCATTCACACAAATGAGTAACACACACAGCTGGTGTGAACACGAGAAACAGACAACTAGGTCAGAACCATATAAGGCAGCATAGTTTCTAACATAGAAATCAATATGTAATTTGGCAATTACCAGATCTTTGTAAATGAAGGGATGCCATCTTTTAAGTTATCAGAAGAGAAAAGCATTCTCCAGCATCTATACATAGAAAAGTATGGCTCCTCTGCTCTCGTTCTTCAAAACTCCTAAATCAACAGCTTGGTTTACCATCCTCAGCTTCCTCCACTATCGTTTATATAGGAGAATATTTGAAGCAGCAAATGAAAAGCTCTTGCAATAACATTTTTAAAAATAGGAAAAAGCAGCATTACCACCCTCAAGTTCCTAGGATCTACTAACACTAGCGTACAATCACCGTGTGGTCCTGGGGTACAGCGTGGTGTGGAAAAACACCTCTCAGCAACAATCATCCTTCAGCTGAGGATGAAAAGATTCGTTAAAAAAAAAAAAAGACTGAGTGCCATCAAAGCCTGGTGAGGATACTGGGACAGTGCTCCGTGTGCACAATGGACCAGGCTTTAATTTCTTAATGCATTATCTACTCCTGGCACAAGCTCAAAAAACATGCCTTATAAAGGAAAAGTTTTTTGCAGTAATAGACAACTACCTTTATATAGTAGCTTAACAATCTATAGGCAACAAGAGACCTGAACATAATTACTTAACAGACACTTCAGTCTTACAAAGTAGGGATTCAAACCCTAAGCTTACCATGTACCAAAGTAGGGCTTCTTATAGACTTATCAAAACAAGGAACAGTACAGATAAAGAAGTGGTAATGATACTTACACATTTTATCTTGTGAATTCGTCCGTGTATTGTATCCTGAACCAAGATCTGGAAACCCTCCAACATTTTCAAAACAGAACTTCTTATTAATATAGAGAAAAAGGAGCAGCATCAAGACAATAAACACCCCAACCGCTGACAAAAATCCAACTGCCTCTGGAGAGACTAGAGAAAAGAAAGTCACAGCTGTCAGCATCTGTTTTCTCCAAGCTGAGAATAAGAAGGAATTTCCCAATATATGCTAGACAGTTTGCTATCTAATGTCAACTACTTTTAAATGTCATAATTTAAAATAGTTTGTAAGAAACCCCACAAAGTGCAAAGATATATTTTCAATATATTCAATAGCATTCATTCAAAATTTTTTAAAATGTTTCTAAATAAGTATACTGAAAGAATTTTAAAATAAAAACATCTAAAACATGAGCAGCTAACTTATTTTAAATCCATGAAGAATATTATAAAAATGTTGGCACAGAATTAGAAAAAAATTTTGAAAAATATTTTTATGCATAAAAATTGTTAAATTCATGAGAGCATATACTATTATTATTTCTCAAAGCTCTTCTGGGCCTTCTTATTAATCTGGCATTTAAGTTCCAGACCCTCTTTCCAATATACACCAGTCACATAGGTCTATCTGCTCTTGAAATGAACACACAGGCTTGGGTGTTGCTCTTCCTCTTGTCTGACATGCCTGACACATCTCTCATATCATTCGACTCATACAATAAAATCTCTGAACTATCAGCCATACACCAAGCGAGTGTTCTATGCACAGCTCCTGGCTTTGCACACATATAATGCAGGCAGTTAGAACCGAGCATAATACTGACTAGGACTGGAAAAGTACAGGATCACAAGAGCCATAAGTTCCTGCACTGAAGGGTCAAATGTGCTTTTCTGAAAGCTACAGCTTCTGTGACTACATTTTACGAACTAACAGGACTTAGACAAGTTAATAGTATTCCAAGATAAAGCAAAGATATGTGTAAATCCTAGAACTAGGACATGTTATATTCTAGAAGCAACATGAGATTTTAGTATGATGAGCTGTCAGACTAAAAGGAATTTAGTCTCAAGAGATACATGACACCACCCAGGGAGATTTGGATTCCCAGCTCCAGCAATCTCCCTGTCCTTTCTCATCTCCACTGCCTGGCACTATACCAGTCATCTGGAGTTAAACAAAGGCCATGTTTTTGCATGAGTAGATGGATCTTAAACATCAAACATCTCCTGTGAAGTATGGCCTACTTCCCTCTCCAACTGCTCAAGCAGCACAGACCATGTAATCTCCACAAAAATTCTTTAAGCAGAACTCATTTGTTAAAAACCAGGTCACTACCTGGTGAGTGATTGGTGCTTTTATCTGTTAGCTTTTCATTATTCATGACAGGTAGGCATACCATAAGTAGAACAGAGTATGACATTACAGTCTACTCAAACCAGGGTCAGCAGTGTTGGAGCAGATGAAGCACAGTAGCACTGTCGAGGAGGGGCAGTGAGAACGGAGGGGCTGGCAACAAGTCCATGGAGTACATAGCTTGTGACTAACTCGGTTTTCACAAAGATCTAATGATCATTCCCATCATAAACTGATCTGCAGGACATGAACCACACGACCAGCCAGAATCCAAAGCTGCTGGAAGCTGTGCTTTACCAGTGCTCGCATTGTCTCTCCTGCCTTCTCAGATCCTCTTCAGCTTTCTCCTATCCCCTGCACCTAACTGACTGATACTACTTTTATCTTCCTCCTTCCTTTCTAAATTTATAAATTTAACTTCATGAGAAATTCAACTCAAAAGCAGTAAGCATAATAAAAGGCAGTGAACTCTATCAGAGACAGGAATGTAAACCCCTGGGGTGGACAGAAGAACCACCCTCTGAGGTTCAAAGAAGAGTTTAGAAAGAAGATGCACTTGAGCGTAGGTTAAAAGATTAATAAAGACTCTATGAATAGAGAAGGGCAGATGGACTAGCATGGTCAAAGATGTAACAACCCCAAACCACTGAAGAGTAACAGTAACAGCTGTTGTAGTTACCTGTCTGTCCACCATGTACTTAACAGCATCAGGGGGCTGAGAATAAGTATGTGTGTGAATAGACAAATGAATGAGAGAGCATGTGTTCTAGAAAGATCAAGAATATATTGTGAGAATCAAAAGTAAAGAAAAAAGCAAGTTAAAACTGTCAATCTTTGGTATTGCCCTAAACATTTTGAACTCAGGGAACAACAGGTTTACAACAAGCATGTCTTGAAATTTTACACTGGTTAAAATGAAGAAAAATGGAATAAGATAGGCACTGAAGAGCTGCCAGATTATGATGAACTCTCAATGAAGCAGTAGCAGCGGTGGCAGAGAGAAGGGATGAATTCTAATTTTTGTTCAAAGAATGTAAGCAATGACTCAAAATCAACAGAATGTAGAAGACGAGGAGAAGCTGAGGGTAATTCTAATTCCAAACTGAATGGTCAGGTAGACAGAAGTGCCGTTAACCAACATGAAAAGTATGAGAGGAAAGGCATGTGTTTTACAGCATGAGGGAAAGAGGCATGTGGAGAAAGAAGGTTTAGAGAACATACTGGCTGTAGTTTTGCTGTGATATGTTAGAAATGTCAACAGAAGGGAGAACAAGCATGTTGCTTTTCTTGTGAAAGTAAGGTTAGTTATAAAAGACCTGGGGCTTTCCCCATTTGTTCCTCTTACTCCACTTTAAAATCTTCACTCACAAAATAAAATTAAGCCAAAAACTCAGATGTGAAGCTTTCTTAATGGTTACTCTATTCATTGCAAATTTACCGATAAATACATGCTGTATCTTTGGACAAATTAAAAACAAAAACAAAAAACAAAAGAACACTACTTTTCTCCACTAGGAAAAGGAAAACTAGGCCTGCTACAAATACACTGATCATGTAACCTTAATTTTAACCTATCACTTGATAAAATGCCCAGTTTCCAACACAGAAAGTAGATAGCTATAATTTACAGTAGAAATATGGTTATAGGAAAGTGACATTTCCTAATAGCAAATATTATAAATCTTCAGATCTCTATTTTCTTCTTTACATCAAGATCAAAATGTTTATTATTCCAAATAATCAATAATTCTGAGTATGTAAACATTTGCTAAATCTCATCTCTGCATAAAATCGCAATAGAAGATACATTGAAATCAGACTACAGACATGAACACTGTACATAATTCATTAAAAAATTATACTTAGACTTCATTATTGATATTTTTTCATTCAATATAAGATTGGAATTCCCCCCCTAAAATCTTATATTATGAATCTGCATATAAACATTCTGAATATTTCTAAGGATATAGTTAATTAATAAATGCATAGACCTATCCTTTTTAAGGCTTCCAGATAATCCATCAAATGCAAGTAAACCTATTGAAAATGCCTGTTGGGGGCTAGAGAGGGCTCAGCAGTTAAGAGCAGTGGCTATTCTTCCAGAAGACCTGGGTTCAGTTTGCAGCTCCCACTTGGTGGCTCACAATATTCTGTAACTCCAGTTCCACAGGGTCCACTACCTTCTTCTGCCCTTCATGAGCACTATGTGCATGTGGCTCATAGACATTCTTACTGGTAAACTTCATTAGCATAAAATAAGATTAAATAATCAAAATTATTTTAAATTCTTGCTGCAAGACTGGAGAGAGAGTTCAGTCAGTAGGCCTGCTATGCAATCATGAAGAGCAGAGTTCACTCTCCAACACCCACATAAAAGGCTGGACATGCAGTTCATACGTGTAAACCCTGGCAAGGTAGAGACGGGGGTCCCTGGAACATGCTGGCTGTTGTACCTAGCCTAATAAGGGAAGTGCAGGGTTAGTGACGGATCCTGCTTCAGAGAACAAGGTGGATGTCTCCTGAAGAACCAGTGACATCAAATGCTGACATCTGGCCATCCACATAGAGGGGGGAGGAGGAG